GTACAGGACAGCAGACGAGAATCACAGGTCACGAGCCGGGTTCAGCAACAGAGAGTCAGATCAAAGGAGAACACAAAGAATAGTCAAGTCACAAGCCGAGTCAGATTCCAGGAGAGTCACAAGAGTCAGAACAGCGTAATAGCAACACAAAGACACAAGACACAAGTGCAAAGAGCATGTGCGGACCACGGGCTTATATGTCATCAGCAACACCCCTCTGGGGGATGGACCTCAGAGACCTGAAGGCATAAAGGATTCCCACCATGCTCAGCAGAAATCCAAGATGGATGCCAGCACATGGAGTAACATAACCCTTTGGGAAAAGGTAGGACCTTGACACCTAATTGCAAGTCTACAGGGGGTGTACACTGTCAAAGGGACATGAGGGTTAACTGGAGAACAGTTATGGTGCAAGTGTACATGGTGTACGTTCCTCTCTAATAGTGAAAGCCTACCTTAAGGTTGAGTATTCCCCCACGGCAGCTTCGGCCTTGTTCCAGGGCATTGATGAAAATGGCACAGTGTAAAGGTATCCCATATGTGAAGTAGAGTGATCCTGTTAAATTTGCCTAGAGTAGCCCAGAAGAACCCACAAAAAGGAGGCAATCCTCTCATGCGACCCAGATTTGGCACCCAACTAGGTAAATTGGGAAAAACACAGAGGAAAGAAACATCTACATCCTGCCACACCAGTCCAACAGCTCAACAACCCCAGCCCTACAAATATGAAAAGAATAATTTCTCACACAATTTGCAAGTAGAGAACGAAAGCAGCAAGCAAAAATCTACGCCAGGTGTTCATAGAAGGTGACATATTTAACAAAGTACAGTCCTACTTTAATATACTTAGAAGGAATGCAGGACATCATAAACCTCTACTAGCAGGGGTCTACAAAGGACCTCTGATGAGGTAAATGGTTCCATCATAAATAATCTGGTACGCAGCTCAGTAATACACATCTGTTAGGATGGGGTTTTCCACCTAAAACTGAACTCCCAGAGCCAAACTTTACACATATCCTGTGATTTCTGCTGTAATAGAGCTACGTTCATAAAAACTGGTAACACTAATATATAATAGGATACCAATCAATTAGACACCAAACATGTCTATATTACAAGGTCCAACGGCTGATAAGAAACCTTAGATCTCATAAGAGAAATATACATAGATATATATCATGTTTGGTCTCTAAGAAATCACAGTTTCATTAACCTAAAACATATTGGTTGACACATTATTCAACATTTACTAATATTATTATTATTATTATACAGTATTTATATAGCGCCAAAGGGTATGCTCAGCGCTGTACAGTAGCAAGGGGGACAGAACATGAGACAAGACAGTAACAATACAATACACGAGGGGTTCGAGGGCCCTGCTCTTTCGAGTTTACATTCTAGGAGGGAGGGGAAGGTGGTACAGGAGGAGATGGCTGTGGGGGATGGAGTGGTGGGAGGAGTGGAGGAGGTTAGTTGTTAGGTGAGGTCAGGTGTTAGGTGAGGGTGGGGTAGGCTTCCCTGAAGAGGATGGTTTTCAGGGTGCGCCTGAAGGTGAGGAGGGTAGGTGACAGTCTGATGGATTGGGGTAGGAAGTTCCAGAGGATGGGGGAAGTCCTGGAGAAGTCCTGCAATCGGGCGTGGGAGGAGGAGACCAGGGAGCTAGAGAGTAGGAGGTCCTGTGAGGAGCGAAGGGCATGGGTAGGGTAGTATTTGGGTATCAGGTCAGTTATGTAGTTTGGGGCGGCATTGTGAATGGCTTTGTAGGTCAGAGTTAGCAGTTTGAATTTGATGCGTTGGGCAATGGGCAGCCAATGAAGGGATTGGCAGAGGGGGGAGGCAGATGTGGAGCGGTTGGTGAGGTGGATGAGTCTAGCCGCTGAGTTTAGGATCGACTGGAGTGGGGATAGCGTTCGTTTGGGTAGGCCAGTGAGAAGGGAGTTGCAGTAGTCCAGGCGCGAGATGATGAGGGAGTGTGTACGAGTTGTTTGGTGGTGTCTGGGGTGAGGAATGTGCATATAATAGACATTTAGCTATCTGAAGATGTTTTTCTGTTCACCTTAGCAAGGTCTGAATTGTTCCTATTAGGTGAAGTTTGGTGTCTAACTTCTATTGCTTCACCTTATTCTTAGTAAATCGATCCCATTGTCTCAAATGGAAACATACTGTAGAAGAACCCACAATAGTTAGCGGTTTTAATGTGTCTGTTGAGCATGATACAATAATATTCAGCACACATACAGCGCAACTCTTGGACCCTTTGATTGGGCAGAGTGAGTACTCTGACACCTTCTCCAGGGGCAAGAAGAAGCTGCAGTATTTGGCTGCTGGAGCATTCATTTTATGTTTGAAACTACTAAGGATACAGAAAGTCAAATCTTCAGAGGGCCAGTGACTCTTGTAAACATCAGATTGGACTAACTCTACAAGTAATCCGACCTCTGCACTGAACCAAAGACCAACTGGAATCCATTTAAGTTTTTTTTATTTATAAAAAACCTTTTATTTTACTGTTGCTTGTAATATGTATTTTGCAAATACCTTTTGCACTGTTTTTATTTTCATTTAAAAATATCTTTAATTAGGGCAGTGTTAAATGTAACCTTGGCTTTTAACCCATGGGAAACTCTATTGCACAAATCTCGAACTTGACCAGGAACCAGAGGAGACTGGTGGGCTTTGTTTTTTTGGCAGCTCATCAGACATTGGCTAAAGCTTGGTGGAAGCAGTACCTTCATCTTGCCGAAGTCAAGCAACAGCTTATGGAGACTATGGTGCATCAGAAGCAAACTTCCGTTTTGAACAACACCCATGCAAATTTTTTGAAGGTCTGTGACCTATGGATCACATACAAAGACAGCTTGAATCTTGACCACTGAACCTTCTTCCCACCTCCTTCCCTATCCCCCTCTTCTACTTGCTTTCTTTCTACCCTTTTTGTGGTTACCTTTGCCTCCAAGCGTTATTAGTTCTTTTTTATGCCTCCTGGTTTGACTGGAGGCATTGAGGTCACCTCTATCATTTTTTTGGAGGTCACAGTTGCCACTCATGAGGAGCAGATCCTGTGGAGATGGGCTATTAACTTGCTATTGGAAAATATGCCAATTTACTGTATCATATGCTTATGACGTTGTCATTGTACTGACCTCTTTGTTTTAATTGTTCTTTGTGAGCACTTGGCCCACTTGCTCATTTCTTGTCTAAGTTTGTATACCTTGCACTGTGATATTGTGCTTTTATATAAACCAAAAATTATTTAACCTCCTCGGCGGTCTGATTATTTCCGATTTTTGGTGCTGAAAGCGGTACATTTTTTTGCATGGAAATATGTAGTTTTTTATTGTAGGCTGTAATTTTTAGGAATAACTCACTGAAATCTGTCCGAACAAGAGTCTAGTAAACATCCCGGGGATGATAAAACTTGAAACACGAAATCATAAATTATAATTTAATTAATAATCACAAAAAATAATAATAATATAATAATAATAAATTTAATTCAATAATATAATCAAACCAAAAACACTGAAATTTGAAATACAGAGGCAAATTCGCACATCGCTGAGCAAAGTCGCAAAATCATTTTCAGTGTCTGATGATGAATTTCCCCCACAAATCATTATCACTCAATTCTGCAAGTGGTTCTGATTTACTATCGCTGTTCTCTAGCCGGTCTAAAACCGCTTTTGACCTAAAGGGACGCTTTTTGGACGCCATGGACTTTTCTAAGTTTCCAGGCAGAAAGAACAGTCAAAATGTAGGCAGGGCGCCGGACAAAGCACTCGGGACAAAATATATGTGAAATGCATTGAAACAGCAATGTTTTACTATATAATAATCATTTTTAAAAAAATGAAATTTTTTAAAAATTTCAATTTTCCCGCCGGTTCCGGCGCCCGTACGTCCCGACGTCACAGGGACCGGAACACAGAAGCCGGATGCCGGCATCGGCCGGAGGAGATGGCCGGGGACACTGCAGGGGACACATCGTGGGAGCGCAGGACAAGGTAAGTGCTGCAGGGACTCCCTGAGCAACGCCGCATGGTAAGCCCGAGTGTAGCTCAGGGTTACCGCTCTTGGTACTGAAATTTTACCCCGAGCTACACTCGGGAATACCGCCAGGGGGGTTAATAAACTCCTTTGTAAAACAAAATAAAACAATCTTTAAAATTGTGAAGCTTAAATTTGGAGAACTCATATACTACATGACTAAAGACGTTCCTTATTTGGGTTGTTTGACTTACTCTGTTGGTAGATGTATAACTCTGCCTACCTCTTTATTTATATTGCTCATGTACTCAAACTCTATTCTCTCTTCTTCTCTTCTCTTAACTTTTTCTTCACCTTATATAATTGTGCCTTTTTGAAATGTACATTGCAGTTGTGCCTTGTTACTGTTTTACACACCGTTTGAAGCTGTAATGTCATTTTACAGTCTATTTCTTGAAAAATAAAATCGTTTGTAAACAAAAAAAAAATTTGTTAAACTTATTCCCCGAACGCTCTAAACAACAAATTAGGAACCTTGCCTGTTTGAAAAAAAAACACTACCACAGTGTAAACTCTGTTACATTTCTGTCTGGACGTGGCAACGAGTGATGCTAACATTTGTTTACATTAAAACATGAAATGTTGGCTATGTGTGTGCGTAAGGAGTACTTATTAACCTTCCCCAGTGATGATCACTGTCTTTGAGCTGGCACTTAGATTGTTGGTTTTGTGAGCTGAAAATGCTCTGTACAGGGGGTGGTTGAGAGTATAATTGTCACAGGGTGCTTCCAAGAGTTTTGAAACCACCCTAAAGCCTGTCTTTTGTGACAGGGAGAAAATTGTTGCCAACAGCAGACTTACTCACTTACTCACGGTTAGCCAGGAGTGTTCTGGTAAGGAATTGCAAATAAATGATGATTATGTGATTGGACGAGGTGTAGAGGCAGGGCAGTAACATCATGATCTCCACCTCTTCCAATCTGGGAATATTTTCCATTCATTTAGAAAATACAACATGCTCTCTGAATGGTGCCTGTGCCAAGTGGCTGTTCTCCTGTGTTCAGAATGCAGCAGGGCATGGTACCCATAAGCAAATGAAGAACACTGGTGTAGCAGTGTCTCCTTCGGCAGGGGTGGACTGACAACTCATGGGCCCCCGGGCAATAGGGGATCATGGGGCCCCTGTGTCCTCGCCCACACTCAAACCATACCCAAAAAAGCCTATGAAAGGTACCAGGGGCATCTCATGGGGCCCCCTACTGGCAGTGCCCGAGTTTCCAAATGGTCAGTCCACCCCTGTCCTTCGGTGATTACCAGCTTCCACCTAGTATTTGGCCAGGTATTTTATATGCATAATTACAGTGGTCCAAGCTGGACCACTGTAACTATGTATAAAAAATCTATACTAGGTGCCTACTTATCTATTTTCTGAGCCTTTCTCTGTTTTAAAGCTGGACGCAGAAATCTGGTCCCAACCTGCCCGTACCTGAACAGTAAGAGATTTGAATGTATGTAGGCAGGGGCAGTTAACTACTTCGCTACTAGGTGGCTCTGTACCAGAATAGTGTCAAGTACAGCAAGCTGTGACACCAGGTGTTAGCCTCCTTTTATGCAAAGCCCTCCCACAGTGATGTCAGGGGTAAATCAGCACCCACATATAAGCCAGGTGGATAGGAGAACACTCCCTCTTGGGGCATGGGAGCTAAATACCCTACACCAGTGAGGATTTATTGAGCACACATAGGCCCTGGGCAGGGCAGGAAGCTGGGTGTAGTGGACCTGTATGCAGGAGGATCCAGCTGTATGTAGGTAGGTTGGAGAATGTGCTAGTTAGTCGCTGCCTTGAGCAGGAGGGTAAGGGTTAATGACTTTCTCGGTTCTGTGGTTTTGGTGGGTTTTTGCTAGGTCCGGCCCACTGATCCTGTGTGATAAAAAAGGGACAGTGGTACAAAATAGAGTGCTCCATGCTCAAGAGTCTTTGGGACAAACATGATCAAGAGCCCATAGGGAAGAGAATCGGAGAATCACATCTGAGAGGAGTACAAGAATGTCACCTGCTACTGCCGTAACATAGAGGGTCCTCTGCACCTAGGGTTTGCCCCTGAAGATACCAGCTACTGGGAAATTCCCTTGATTGACTCCTGTTTGTACATGGACTCTACCTTCACAGGTATGCAGGGGAAGACTATAGCTTGAGTTAGGAGTAGGACAATTCCTGTTTTTTGCTTGTTGGACTTTGAGATGTTCATTTTGCACTTTTTCAAGTAAAGCTTTGAAACTTTGTTCCCGCCTGGTCTGAAGTTACTCAAGGGGTGTAATGCAAGTAACCAGCACCTATAGTCTAAGGTCTGGGTCATTAAACACATTGGGATATGAAGACAGCTCTACAAGAGTTAAAGTGTGGAGCAGGGGGGACTGAGAACTCATGGGGCCCCCGGGCAATAGGGGATCATGGGGCCCCTGTGTCCTTGCCCAAACTCAAAAAAGCCTATGAAAAAGGTACCAGGGGCATCTCATGGGGCCCCCTACTGACCCCGGGCCCTCGGGCAGTGTCCGAGTTTCCAAATGGTCAGTCCACCCCTGGTGTGGAGCAGAGAAGGATTGACAACTCATGGGGCCCCCGGGCAATAGGGGATCATGGGGCCCCTGTGTCCTCGCCCACACTCAAACTACACCAAAAAAAGCCTATGAAAGGTACCAGGGGCATCTCATGGGGCCCCCTACTGACCCTGGGCCCTCGGGCAGTGTCTGAGTTTCCAAATGGTCAGTCTGCCCCTGGTGTGGTGCAGAACAGGACTGACAACTCATGGGGCCCCCGGGCAATAGGGGATCATGGGGCCCCTGTGTCCTCGCCCACACTCAAACTACACCAAAAAAAGCCTATGAAAGGTACCAGGGGCATCTCATGGGGCCCCCTACTGACCCTGGGCCCTCGGGCAGTGCCCAAGTACCCGAATGGTCAGTCCGCCCCTGGTGTGGAGTGAAAGCAAGTGGTTACCTAAGGTAACAGAAGTGTACCAAGCAGTCTGACAATAGCGTGTACCTGTTACCGGTGAAGCAGCCTCTAGTAGTGAGGGAGATGTTGTTGGCACTCCCTATGCCGTGTTCTGTCTCCCGTATCATTGAGAGCAGATCTGCACTGCAGGGGAAGCTCAAGAGTTAAAGTCAAGTGCATGTGACTCTGGAATGTATGTCCTTGTGATGTGACTGTAATGCCGTTTCCTGAATACCAGCAATAGCAAAGCAAAGCTATGTCTTGTGTGGACATTTCTTCCTTTGGATATAAAGGTCTATGGCTGGGGATGTCATGTGGAGGCCTATGGCAAGGAGCAGGGCACAAGATGGTGGAGGGTTCGGCCTCCGCAGCAGAGACAGTGCTCTAGCAGGGCTGGAGTAGGGGTAGGGACTTCTTACATGTGGCTCCACTTCAACAGCACAGAGAGGCTAGGAAGGTTTTACTTTAATAATTTGTCCTTTAAATGTTACCGCACAAAGGCAATTTTTGTACCCATATTGAACCCTTTATGAACAAACCTCCTAATCAACACAGTTAATTTAATATTCTAGACAAGAGTAACAATTGCATGTTTTGACCACTATTTAATTCCTTTCTTCCTTACAGTAGGCTATTTATTAACATTGTCTCTCTTTAAATCCATCTTGGACATTTTGACGGGCTGGAAGCTTAAAGTACAGTATGGCCATAAATATTAATGAATCAACCTTGACAGAGATATACATATGGATAACCATGAATACTCTGTGTGTTACCTCAGCTGTTGGTGGACCAAAATAAGGAGAAACAGATTGGTTAAAAAAAATAAATAAATCATTTCACTGTATTTCCGTATATCGGAGACTGGGCATGTGGCCAGAGTTTAATGCAGCCTGGTAAAGGTATGTAGAGAAGCAGGAGAAGGTGTGGCATTGTGGTTGAAGTGTTGCACTTGAATAAATAGGGTTGGTATTGATCCCAGTCTTAGCCACTTACAACTCCGCCTGTGTCATCTTGGGCAAATCCCTGTTCACAAAAATCCTGAATCTTTGGAACCCACCTGTTAATGTGGAATAATAATGCCCCTGTTCATTTCTGCTTGATGAGCTTTGTATATTGGATAGTGGAGAGCTTCAGGAATCCGCTTGGAAAACTGAAACTCAAGAAATGTCAACAGAAGTCCATCTCATATTTAACTGCAAGCCATATATGAATTAGGAGGTACATGCTAGAAATATTTTTGTGATAACTTAATGCTGCCTGGTTCTGCTTTTGGGAATGGTTTGCAGAGATTCCTAACAGGCAACATTCTTTAAGTGCCTTTTTCTTCTTTACATTTTTCTTTCTAATAATATGGGAAGGGTGTTGTGTTGTGTTTCAGTTCTATAAGTTGTTCCCAATCTAGGATTTGTGTCAATGGCTTCCCGATATTTTTACATTTCGTTACAACAAGCATCTGTTTTTCCAAGAATAGAAATAAAGTGAAAGGACTGAGGACCTTCGTGAGAAGGAGAAGTAAAAAATGGTTTAAAAAGGCTTTTTCATATCGTGATTTGATTTTTTTTTTCTTCAAACTTGGTTGAACTGGATGTACATGTTCTTTTTTAACCTAATTAAAACCCAACTCTAGCTTAATAAAAAAATACAAAAGGACAAAAAAATATCTGGAAAAAGTTGAAATGAAACAGCAACTCTCATTCTATTCATGCAGAAATCATCTCCTCTACTAGATGGTGCTGCTCCTACAGGTTGAATGACAGCCAGCTTTTAACCCATTTCTTGTGACCCCAGGGTGTCAAAGACCTGCCCATAGGGGTGTGTCATCAGGCTGACCTGACCTCACAGGAGAATGCTGCAAGGAACAATGCAACACCATTAAATTTAACAGCTCTCTTGTCAGGGTCTGGATCTGAACCTGTGACTTCTGTGGTGTTTGGCTGTAGCTCTTCTCGCTGTGCCACGTGAGATGCTGCCTAGCTTCCTATCTGATCTTGTAGGACAATCTTGCCTTGTCTCTTTTTTCTTATGAACCTTGAACTCTTTGCTCTGCCCGTGAACGTCCTGATTTAAGCCATGCTTTTGCACTTCCTGTTTGCCAGATTATTGTGCACTTTCAAGGTGATACCTTGCTCCTTTGCATATCTAATGCTGGCCATAGTTGGGTCGAAAATCGGCCGATTTTTCGGCCGAAAATAAAATCGGCCGATTTTCGGATTGTTAGTGGGCTAAATGTTCGGCCGTTTTTTTCGGTATTTTGGCAGTTTTTTTTATCGGTAAAGTTGGGAAAAAATCGTCCGATTTTGCCGATTGGCCGATTTTCGCGGCAATGATGGGCAAATCGGCCGATCTTTTACCGATAAAAAAATCTGCGCATGAGCAGTGACCTGCAAGAGGAAGACAAAAAGAAGAAGAAAAAAGAAGAAGAGGATGAAGAGGAAGAAGAGGATGAAGAAGATGAAGAGGATGAAGAAGATGAAGAGGATGAAGAGGATGAAGAGGATGAAGAGGATGAAGAAGATGAAGAGGATGAAGAGGATGAAGAAGATGAAGAGGATGAAGAAGAGAAAGAAGAAGAAGAGGATGATGAAGAAGAAGAGGATGAAGAAGAGAAGATGAAGAAGAGACGATGAAGAAGATGAAGAAGAGGATGAAGAAGAAGAAGAAGAAGAAGAAGAGGATGAAGAAGAAGAAGAAGAGGACGATGAAGAAGAAGAAGAGGATGAAGAAGAAGAGGATGAAGAAGAAGAGGAATTCCAGTCCGGCAAAAAGTGTCCCTGCAGAGAGCTCCGCTATTTCTTTGACAGTTTCTTGACATTTATAGCGGTTGGAACAATGTATCTATTTGTTTCCGAATAAAAACATCTGTATCCTAAATGGATAAAAAAAGATACATTGTTGCAACCGCTATAAATGACAAGGAACTGTCAAATAATAGCGGAGCTCTCTGCAGGGACACTTTTTGCCGGCTGTAGACGGGATGAAAATCGGACGATTTTTTTTTTACCGTTGCTGGTAACGTCGGCCACTTGAACGACCGATTTTTTGTTTTTTTAAAGAAAAATCGGCCGATTTTCGAGCCGTCTAT